CCTCTCCCTGCCTCCTCAGCTTCCCTAGGGCACCCCCCAAACATCCCCCTGCCTCCTCGGCCTCTCTAATCCCCCCCAAACCTCCGCCTGCTTCCTCAGCCTCCCTAATTGCCACCAGGGGGACAGACAGTTGCTAGGGCCCCACCTTTTCCAGGTGCACTGTCACCACCTTGCCATCTTCAATGAGCCAGGAGCTCTCCTCCACCTTGACCTCATTGTAGAGCTCACCGGCAATGAGTGGGGGCTGCCCCTTCAGCCCCACCTGCAGATGCCGCCGCTGAATGTCCACGACCACGTCCTTGCCCTTCAGTCGGAAGCTCACAGAGAAGGGCACGGCCAGCTGAGGATGGGACGTGACAGGAGATGAGGCCTGTTTGCTGCAAGGAGTCCCCCTCCATGCCCATCTCCCTGACCACTCACATCCAACTCAGACAGGGTCTGTGTCCACCGGTAGTGGGGGAGGTCAGCTCCATTGCCTGCGTTAGGTCTCAGTTTCCCTTTGTCCTTTTCATCTTCCTCCTCTTCGTCATCATCAGCCTCCTGCTCAGAACCAGAGGTCAGACTCCTGGCTCCCCTGCCTGCCTCCCCTGCCCACCTCCACCCCATCCCCATGGGACACCCTCGCAGAAAGAGCCAGCCTGGTCTGTGCAATACCACGGGCTAGAGAAGAATGAGGAACACCATGACGTGGCCTTGCAGAGTTCGCCACGTCCAGAAGGCAGAGCTCAGAGATGGCCAGGACTGCACTCACCTCCTTCATCAGAGACTGGCCATTTTATCTGGCGTGTACCCCCTCCCCTGACGCAGACTAAGGCATGGGAGGCCTGCCCTGGAGTTCTGATGCCAATCCAGCCTCTGAGAGGGGCTGCTTGGCGGCCCACCTCCATATGGGGAAGGCCCACCATGATAGGACTACCTTCCACTGGTTCATGATACAGAAACTTCTGGGGGAGGACACTTTCTACCATTGCAGGTCAACTTGCCTAGAACCCTGAGAGGTGTGCCCAGGGTCACATCCAGCAGGGGTCAGAGGGAGGACCTGAACCCAGCTCTCCATCCATTATGCCAGCTGCCTCCCACAGGAGACGTTTACAGTTTAAAAAGTGCCTTTAAATCAACTATATTCATTTCATCATGACAGATCTGGGAAACAGATGGGGTAGGAATTATCCCCATTTTACAGATGAGAAAATTAAGGCCTCGAGAGAGAAAATGACTTGCCTAATCTGTTCCTGGCAAAGTGGAACTAGAAATCTAGAATGGCCAAGGCTCTTCCAGTGCATTTAGGAAAGGGGCAGTGTGAAAAATAAACTGATAACAAAGCCCTTGGGGTGAGGGGGCAGTGAAGACACTGGCCATCTGATGCCCTGCCTGATTCTTCACCTGTTTCACCGCTGAGTTGGAGCTGTTCAAGGGCTGAGCTGGTCCGTCCCCCTTCTGATTGTTTTCCTCGCCCTTCCTCTATGGAAAAAAAAACAAGCATTGTGTGCCAGGGTGCCCTGGCCTGACCACCCATGCACACTGTGCCATCAGGCCCTGGGCCTCTGTCTCACCCGGTCAATCTCCAGCTGGAGCCTTTCGGCCTCCTCGTCCGTCAGCTCCTTGATCTGGGGCCCAGAGGCCTCCTGCTGGGCCTCACGGGCCAGTCGCACCGCTCGCTCAGCCTTTTCTCGCCGCTCAGCTTCCTGCCTCGCCTGCTTCTCTCGACGCCCCTTCTGGGCCAACTGGTTGTGGTGGCGGAATGTCTCATTGATGAGCTGGAGAAGAAAAGATAGAGGTGATGCCTGAAAACAGTTGAGATGGGAGAGCTCGAGCTTTCCCCCTCCTCTGCATCCTTCTGCATCACTGCTCTGGTACCTCAGGAAGAGCCAACCCAACCCTATCCACCCTCCAAGGCCCAGCGCAAAGCCCAGAAAGCCTTCCCTGCTCATCCCAGCCCATAGCTATCTTGTATAGGACACAGCCTAAAGCTTATAACCCCGAAAACACAGAATGTCAGAGCTGGGAGGGGCCTTAGAACACAGGGTATCAGAGTTAGGAGGGCCCTCAGAACACAGACTGTCAGAGCTGGGAGGGCCCTCAGAACACAGACTGTCAGAGCTGGGAGGGCCCTAAGAACACAGAATGTCGGAGCTGGGAGGGCCCTAAGAACACAGAATGTCAGAACTGGGAGGGCCCTTAGAATACAGAATGTCAGAGCTGGGGGGCCCTAAGAACACAGGGTGTCAGAGCTGGGAGGGCCCTCAGAACACAGGATGTCAGACCTGGGAGGGCCCTCAGAACACAGGATGTCAGAGTTGGGGCTCACTCTTCTATCCCCACCCCACCCCAGGTGCCCCTTTCCAGGCTCACCATCCCCAGCTCCTTCACCATCTCATCCAAGTCCTGAAGATGCGGCTACATCAGGGTAGGAATCAGTGTATTACTTATCTTCCTGCCCTGCCTGGCTTGGCCTCTAGATGGCTTCTAATGCAGCCTGAGGCTACAGTCACTGTTCTGGCTGCTTTCTAATATTACTGACTCACACTAAGCTGGCAAGCCATTAACCCCCAGACCCTTTTTCAGATGAACTGGTATTTAGCAATGCTTCACCACTGGACTTCAGAAGTTGATTTTCTGGACTGGTCTAAGCCTTTATATTCACCCCAACTCTATCTGATCTCATCTGATTCTGACTGCCAGTGTGGAGACTATTTGGGCTTTTGCTTGTCCCCCCAATTTTGGGTCATTTGTAAATGTGCTAAATACCCCACTACACATCCCCTAATCTGCCAGAGTCAGGAGATCAGTCTTGTCTGGCATGGGTTTGAGGGAGCTGAGCTGCTACTTTCTGATCACAGTATCCCCACTTCTAGGCATTCCCTGCACACACCCTCCTTGAGAACACACTCTAGAATTCTGCCAGCATTCAGTCACTCTTGCTGGCCTCCATGATGTGCCGTTCTCTTCCCTTCTGTCCTGTGGCCCTTCTTCCGGTGTCTCTGGTGGCACCCACAGGCTCAGCAGATGGGCCTGGGGCTCCCTTCTCAGCTCCATTTGGATGGCTAAGAGCAGAGCAGTGGGTCAGAGCTCCCAATTTGCTTCTGGCCCTGACGTGGCTCTGGAGGGTTTTCCCAGCACTTCTGCCACAACTCTGGGCAGTTTAATCCCCATTATTCTCCATACCTGATCAATGTGGAGGTGGGGGGAGACTTGAGCAGCCTGGCCCGTAACTGGCCAAAGAGTTCAAAGTGCTAAGCGGCAGAGCTAGGACTCAAAACCAAACTTTTGTGGTCAAATATGTCTCCTCTAACAGCTGCAGCCCCCACATGGCACAGTGCAGAAGCCCTGCCCGGCAGCCAGGCTCTAGCTGCAGGCCTCTCAGAGAACTCTGGGCCAGGGAGTTTGAGGGGGTGGCAGCTTAGCACAGGCGCCCAGGAAAGGCCAACCTCAGGAAGAGGACCTTTAATGAGGGGAATGGATCCCTTCAACCCATCTGCTAACCTGGGCAACAGGACTACTTCTCAGCCTCATGAGGTGAGGAAGGCCAAGGCCTCTAACTCAAGCAAGGCTTAGCCAAAAAACTGAAAACCAAAACCAAAATCAAACCAAAACAAACCCGTGGTGCCAGGATGGAATCCCTAGGGACCACTTGCTAATCTGAATTTGTCCAGTCCCACCTTGGAGGGCTCAGCACGGCAATGCCCAATGACAACCAAGCCTTACATAGAGTTTCGCAGTCCAGCGTTCAGCTGGTGCTTTTCCTCCATCAGCTCACTTCATGACAACCCTGGGAGGTGGGTGCTACCGCTATTATCATCATCTTAGAGATGAGGAAATGGAGGCTTGGAGAGGGAAGGTGATTTGGCTAACATCATGGACTGAGGGAGGGCAGCAAATCCATTCCTCAAAATCATACGAAATATGGGGAACAAAATGGAGACAGACCCATGTTCCAAAGTGATGGAATACTTCCAACAAGACTGAAATCCACGTTTTTAAAACTATCTGAAAGAACAGGCCAGAAACAGAGTCGGGTTCACCAGAATACTGAACGGAGGGGAGAAGTGTTCACGTGCCACATTCCAATGACAACGAAGCAAAGACAAACCCAAGGAATTCAGAGAAATACAGAAAGATTACAGGAGCTGATGCGGACTGAAGCGAGTAGAGCCAGGAAGAGAGATGCGAGGACCAGAGTAACAGAAACAAAGAGCGTGGAGCAGCTGAGCTCCCAAGCGTCTGGCAGAGATGGACAGCCAGCAAAGGAAATGACGGCCAGGCACGAGAAACAAAGACTTGGGGACCAACGTAGCAGAACATAAGGATATCGTCTCGACTCTTCTGGATGTTGTTTTCAGGAACACGTTTTGTATCTAAATTACATTTTAATGGAGGGAAAATAGGACATTCATGCCAGACCTAAAAGATGTCGTACAAAGCACATCCATTGACCGCTGACACAAAGAAAGGCCTCAGAGTTACCCAAGCCCAACCCCCCCTCATCTCACACAGAAGGCAACCGAAGCCCAGAGACAGAGGTGACTTGCCCAAGGTCAAGAGGGAGAGCTGCAAAGATAAGCCTGTGTCCTTCCCACAACATCCACAGCCCGTTGGCTTGGCCACGTCAAAGTGAGCCGTGGAATACCTGCCATCTCTGCTGATGGCCGGGGACGATGTGGACAATTCTGTTTGGGAAAGGGGAGAATTTCTAATGCTACTCAGTATGTTCAACAAAGCGCAGGACAACCGGCTGTCTTCCCTTGAACCTCTTCCATCCTCTCCTTGAGAGGGGGCTCCATTGCTAGTGGCTCTGTACCACAGCATCCACCACGGGGCCTGGCGTACCGATGAGTGACTGGCCCAGTATCTCAACATCTCGGGAGCCAGTCCTCAGACCTCAAGATGCCTTTGGTTCGTTTCAGACAGGATCCCAAGATCCCAGACTTCATGCTGGAATGGACCTTAGAGGTCCAACCTTCTCATTTCAGATTTCATGGAAGCTCAGGTCGAGGGAAGGAAAGGGACTTTTGTGACTCCAAGACTCTTCTCACTCATTGACAGGCTTTCCTGGCCAGGTATGAGTGAGGCAGCTGGTCTGGGAGGGTATATGTGCCAAGAATTAAGATTGAAAGACAGGAGATGAGGCAGAATCAGCAAAGCAGTCTTTAAATAACTGTAGAAATGAAGAAGTCAATAAAAGTGATTTTGTTGATTTTCAGCTTTTGGGGAGCTAAGTACTAACAAACATTATCTTCCCATGACACACTAGAAAATGTGAAGCCATTTGCTGAGAGCTCCCTCTTACCCGTTCCCTCCTCTCACATCAGTCAGATGCCTTTTGCCATGATCTCACAGAATTAGGTGAAACTTCTTGCCAAGGCAAAGCCCACTACACACACAGGTGACCCCATTTATTCCTGTCTCCTCCAGCAGACTTCCCACCAATCTTTACTCTCTCTCTTCCTGTCTCCCTGGTTGCTCTTTCTTGCCTACAAACATACCCATCTCCCCCTTCCTCCACAAACCCTCCTGTAAGACGCCCATGTCCGTCCCTCTTGTCAGCCTCTCTCTCCTCCCTTCTGAGGCTAACCTCGAGAAGTCCATTCACAATCGGGGTCTCCCACGTGCTTCTGTCTCACTCTCTTAACTCTCTTCCGTCTGGCTCCTGATGACACCGCCCCCCCATCCTTCCAGAGTTTCCAATGATCTCTCACTTGTCAAATCCAATGGCCTTTTCTCAATCCTCATCCTTTCTGGCCTCTCTTCAGCCTTTGAAACTGCTGATCACCCTCTTCTTGGTAATCTCTCAAGGCTTTGGTGACACTGCTCTCTTATTCTTCTCCTCCTACCCCTTCTCAGTTTCCTTCCGTGCTATCTCCATCTAGGATAAGTCTGTGAACCTTAAGCGTCCCTTAGGGTTCCGTCCCAGACCCTCTTCTCTTCCTCCATACTGTTTCACTTGGTGATCTAATTATCATCTCTGTGCTAATGAATCTCATATCTACGTAACCTGCTTTGACTTTTCTGCTGACCTCCAGACTCACATCTCCAACTGCCGGTTGGACATTTCAAACTGACATCCCCTAGGTATCTTAATCTCAACATGTCCCAAAGTGAACTCATTACCTTCCCTCCAAAGCCCCCTCCTTCTTTCTTTTCACTTTTCCTGTTACTGTCAAGGGTATGGCCATCCACCCAGTTACCAGGCTCCCCACCTTAGGCTCATCCTCAAATCTTCCCTCTCTCCCCCTAACCCCCAGATCCAATCTGTTGCCAAGGCCTGTCGACTATCCCTTCATAAGACTTCTCAAATACATCCTCTTCCCTGTACTGTCACTACCTTGGAGCAAGCCCTCATCCTTACACACCTGGACTATTATACCCTGCTACTTGGGCTCTCTGCCTCCAGTCTCTTCCCATTTTAGTTCAGCCTGCACTCAGCCATCAAAGTGATTTTCCTAAAGCCCAGGTCTGACTGACACTCCTCTCTCCCTCACACCCTCTCCCCTCCCCCGCCCCAGCCCTTGCACTCTTGGTATGACCCACTGACCTTTCACTGGCTGTCCTCTGTGCTTCCTTCTCTTCAGTCTCCTGGTTTCCTTCCAGGCCAAGTTCAAATCCCACATTCTGCAAGAAGGCTTTTTCAGCCTTCCCCACCTGCTTGGCCTTTCTCTCTTGTGCATTACCTTCCATTTGTCCTGTATCCATCTTATTTGTCCATCCCCACCTGCCTGTTGCCTCCCCCCACAGACTGTGGGCTCCAAGGCAGGGGCTGTGTTTTGCCTTTCTTTGCATCTCCAGCTCAGGATATGCCTGGCACAGAGTTGCCAATAAAAGCTTGCTGACTTAACTTGACAAATATGAGAAGACAATTACTTAAAACTGGAGTGTTTACAGCTAGACTTCTATACACACTGCATGACAGCAGGAACAAGGATATGCCTTGATGAGAAAGAGAGCTCTTCAGAAAGCATATGGAACAGCTGTGAGAATACCTCAGACCATGGATACAGCACCAGCCCTGACGTCAGGAGGACCTGAGTTCAAATCCGACCTCAGACCAAACACTTGACACTTACTAGCTGTGTGACCCTGGGCAAGTCACTTAACCCCAATTGCCTTAAAAAAAAAAATGCCTCAGACCCAGCCCAAACTTTCCCACCTCCACATTTTTGTCTCCATACATGTGGAAGATCCACCTAGCATTCTTTCTCAACAAATCTCACAGCACTTTGTGAAACTACAGTTAATTCTGTTGGTGCTCACCCCTTACCTCTCCAGAGAGATCTCTATGAAGTCTTGCACTATATTTTCTCTAAAACTGTATCTTTGCAAGTGCCCAGAAGAACACAATAAATGCTCTTAGCTCTTTACTTGTGTGACCTTAGACAATTCATGTTTCCTCCCTGGGCCTCAGCTTCCTCATCTGTTGGGTGTCCAAGATCCCTTCCTCAGGAATCATAGGAGGCAGTGTGGCCTAGTGGAAAGAACCCTGGATGTGGGGCCAGAGGGGCTGGGTTTAATGCCAGTCAGGCTAACTTCCAAGGCGGGTTGGTGAGCACTGCAGTGAGCCCAGGGTTTGCAGGCAGATCTGATCCAGTGAAATACTAGCCCTGCCATTTACCACCTTCACCTCTCTGAGACTCAGTTTCCTCACCTGTAAAATAACAGGGGTTAGAATAGATGACCTCTAAGGGCCCTTCTGGTTCTGCATCTATGATGCTAGGAAGCTCATTCTAAAATTACAAAAACCAAAAGAGATGAAATGTAAAATTACTGCCACTGCTGCTACCTTCACCACTCCTGGGAGTCAAAAAGGCCTTTGGGGTTTCAGCAGACCTCACTCTTACCACTTAGCACTGTGTAATCCTATATAAAGTTCTCATGGTTGGTCATTTGGGCTCTGACCAGAGAAGGGCTGGCTATGCTACCCTCAATGTCTCATTAAGCACTTGAAGTGATGGACAGAAGCTTTGTAAAATAGAACAACTTCCCAAACAAAAGGGGAGCCCCGGTACACGGCGGGTACTGAGGCAAGGCCACAAACAGGTTAATTTTGAGCCCCCAAGGGAGGAGCCAAAGCCTGACACCTCACCTTCTCAGCCATCCCCTCCTCGCCACCAATGAAGAAGTCTGTTTTTCGTCGCAGGAAGCTGAAGAAAGTGTTGACAAGCTGGAAGACAGAGAGAGAGAGAGCTGAGGATACAGGTTAAATAGCTGGGATTCTTCTAAATGTTTTTTAATACTTGTCTGATAATGGACTTGTTCAATTTTTCAACTTGCCCTGAGTAGCCAGGCCCATCTTGGATGTGATCTTCCTTCCTTCCTCTCATCCTTTCCCTCCTTCCAATCCCAGCTGAAGCCTCCTCAAGGAAGCCTTTTTCCAGGCCTGAATCCAGGTATTAGTCCCTGCTCAGGCACTCTACAACCACCCTTCTCCTCCAATATAAGCTGAATGGTTCATTTTAAAATGCTGTTTGTGTATGGGCCCCCATGGCTACAAAAGCCATGCCTTCCCCTACCCCAAAGTAAGTACAAAAACCGAACTGCCTCCTTAGTCTAGTTGTCTATGCAAGGGTGGAAGTGAAGGGTATGGGAATAATGAAGGGACTGGAGGTGGTTGAAGGTGTCAGCATGGAGAAGGGAACTAGAGAGCAGTAACACCACAGATAGAAGGGAGACCTGGAAAGGAGTCAGGATGGGGGCAAGGGAGAGACCTGGAAGGGATCAAGATGGAGGGGGAAGGGGGAGAATCAGGGAATCAGGGATGAGGAATGAGGGAGGGAAAAGACCTGGAGATCAGGATAAAGAATAGGGATGGGAGGAGAATCTTGGAAAATACTGAGGTGGGGGGAGTGGGGCGAGTGAAACTGAAGATCAGGATGGTGAAGGTGAGGGGGACAGAAGCAGGATGGGGGTGGGGGGAAGAGGGAGGCTTGGAAACCAGGAAGGGGGCGGGGTGGAGATCAGGAGATCAAAGTGGGAGGGGGGACTCTGGAAACCAGGATTAGGAAGGAGAAGATCTGGAGATCGGTTTGGGACCCGGAGACCAGGATGGGGTGGGAGGGCAGAGATCCGGAGAACAGGTCACGGAGGGGTTTGAGGGGGCAGATCTGAGGCCCAGGATGAAAAGAGATGGAATGGGAATGGGGATGGGGAGGATGAAGGCTGGGGGGGGAGAAGAGGGCCCTGACCGCCGCGAGCCCTCTGGCACGTGGGGGGCGGCCGGTCCCTCTCTCCCGCCGCGGCCCCGTTACCTCCTGCACGCCGCCCTCGTGCTGCTGGGCCATGGCCAGCAACATGCCGTCGAAGCGCTCCTCTTCCTGCTCCCCGCCCATCTCGCCGGCCCCTTGGCTCAGCCGCTCGCTCTGATCGCTGTTCAGGCCCTTCTCCCACTCCCGGGGCCGCTCCAACGGTTCCCTGCGGCCGCCTCCGCCTTCCTTCCGCAGTCGAACCGGAAGTGCAGCGCCGCCGCGCAGCCTCAGACTCGCTGAGCTCGGTGCTCCCCAACCCGCCTCGCCGCGCTCGGCCAATGGCTGAGCGAGAAGCTGGCCTCTCCGCCCGAGAATTGGCTGTCCTTGCGACCAATTGGCGAGAACATCCGGGGGCGAGGGGAGGAGCTGAATTAGACCGGTTGTTTGGCTGTGTTGCTATCGTTACCAGGTGCCCTCGAGCTTTCCAGAAAACTCTAGGCCTAATTCAATGCATGGGAGTCACGGGTTAGGAAATAAAAGGGTTGGACTTTCCTGCCGCATTTCTCTCTGGCCGGTCCTCACCAGCGAAGTCTCAAGTTCCTAAATTCAGGGCTCTTGTACTTAAGGAAACTCAAATCTGGTTCCAGCGTTATTCCCCAACTGCAGCCGTTCGTTCATTCATTCATTCATTCATTCATGGGCAGTATGAAGTAGCACAGGGAATATGAACCGGGAGCAAAAAGAAACCTGGGTTTGAATCCTGCATTAGGCATTTGTTTGTCTGTTTGTTTGTCATTCAACTAGCATTTGTTAAACACTGTCTTTCAGCAACCACTGGAAATGATTGTTTTGGAAATGACTGTAGAAACACAAACCACTAAAAATAAAAAAGTCCTGAAGAGGGTTTCATTCAGTTTCAGAAGCCAAGATCTTTGCCACTAATAGTTTTATAGTTAAGCCCTTTTCCAAAGCCTGGCCTCACCTTTTAAGCTTATTCAAATGCATCTTTCTTCTCTGGCCCTGAAAAGAACCTGGCTTCACTTTGTTTACCAGTCCCAGGAAACCCTTAAAGTTTTGGAAGCTGCCTTATTTCCCTTTGAAAAGCAGACTTCCCCCCCTTCCAGTTCCCTTCATTATCTATTCTCATTGTCTGTTCAAATCTGTCAGACATTCCAAACAGAAATTCAAACCTGGACCCTTCAACTGACCTCTCCTTCCATTATTTTGCCATCCTGACCATTCTCACCCTTAATCCTAGCTAGGCGCCACAAGGTCCTGGACCCAGGTGTTCCGTTCACCCCAGCTTGCTGGCCACCCCTATCCAGATCTCCCTATGCCCTGCCTCCCCTCACCCCAAACTGCTTGGCCACTCCTAGACCACTCCCCCAGTCTTTCTGTACTTAAGACTCATCTTTGCCCCATTCTGACGATGAGCTGTCCTCAAGCCTAGAGGCTGAGGCTCTAGCCCCCTCGTCCTCACGGGAATTACGTGGCCTAACCACCCCAGGCCCCACTCAGACGCTGAGCTTTCTTCATGCCCAAGAGGCTGAGACTGCCTCACTGGCTCGTCCTTACAAGGGTCACCTGACTACATTAGCCCCATTTAGATCACTGATGTTTTGGTTCCTTTGGAGTCTGGCCTATATGCTTATCTTTAATAAACTTTTTCTCTGGCTGGAAGATCTGGGTTGAATTCATTCAGGCAGATCCGTACCGCGATTTGGGCTTTTTCCTGCCATCTTGGGGTGCCTCTGTGCATCTAGGAGCACCCTAAACCCCTCCCCCTTCAGTCCCTGACCTCAAGAAGTTTGTACTTCCTTAGAGGGAAAAACAATGTAGCATAAACAGATAAGAAAATTAAAATGTGTGCAAAAGTCATAAAATAAAAATGTGCGAGAGAAGCAAAATATTAACAAATGCTTTAAACATTCCTTCATTCCTTTATCACCAAAGACCCACATTTGATCGACACTGTGTAGAAGAGAGAGAGAGGGAGGGAGGGAGAGACAGAGACAGAGACAGAGAGACAGAGAGAGAGAAAATGCAGCTAAAATCAAGGACCTTTGGAGGACACCAAATGCTTTTAGTGGATATGTTACCTATTTTGCCTTCCATTACCAAGTACTCCCAGATTTTATTATCAGTAGATAATACTTTTCTGAGAAAACAGAAGCCATCTGTCATTAGTTTCCCTTATCTCAAAAATCTTTTACATCATGCCCCATTCCCTCCTCCTTTGTTCCAGTCCATTATGAAGAGGTGGCCCTTTTTTGCCAAGCCCAACTCCTCAGCTTGTGCTCTTATCTCATTTCCTTACCTTTTTAGTCATTCCCTCTCCCTCTCTCTCTCAACTTTATGTATCTACAGGCTCCTTTCCTGCTGCCTACAAACATACTTTAAGGATGGTCCCTCACATCCTTAAAAAGCTTTCATTTTACCTTGCCATCTCCTCAACTACCATTCTATATCTTCCCTTCCATTTGCAGCCAAACTTAAAAAAAAAAGGTTGTCCATTCCCCTGGCTTCCATTTCATCAGATTCTGCTCACTGCTTAACCTGATGAATTCTGGCTTCTAACTAGGCTAGTTCCAAAGTTAGTTATTGGGGATCTCTTTGTAATTCTTGGCTCAAGGGGTCATTTGCATGGGATTATCTTCATTAATGGAGATTGATTGCTCAATCAGACAATTAAGGTTTCTGGCTCCTCTTCAATTTCTTCCCAGAATCTTTCTCTCTCTTCAGAAACTGGAATAGAATTTGGAACTATGTGTCTTCTCTTTTGAAGATGGAATCAAGACCAGGATCTCTCTTCTGCCAGACTCTTACCAACTCTGCTCCTCATGGCCCTCAAGCCTGATGAGCCCCAAGAAATCAATCTCCACGGATGGAGAGTCTTGTGTGAATAGCTCTTTGAATCAAGGGCTATATCTTAATTGCTAAATCCCATGGGCCCATCTCAGTCTCCATCCTTCTTGATCTCTCAGCAGCTTTTGACCCTATTGACCATCCCTATTCTTGGATACTCTCTCCTCCTTTGACTTGTATGAGACTGCTGTCTCCTGATAATGAAAACTGCCCTTAACGAAGCATCAAGGAGTAGCTCCAAATCAGTCAGTTTATCTTGGGATAGTCCCAGTCATTGAGACCTAAACTCATTTTTTTTTTTTAACGAAGAAACAGAAGCTTAGAGAGAAGTGATTTACCCAAATCAGCTAAGATGGAGTCCCCTGCTTGGAAGCCTCTGGGGACCTGGTTCTGAGAGACAGAAGGCACCTTTGTGGACATTTTGCATTAACCTACCACATAGATGGGGCAGACTTGACCTTCAGAGTGGGGCCAGAGCAACAAACTCATATTACACTAAGGTTCCTAAGAGGATGAGGTCTTGCCAAAACCAACCCTCTGGGCTGTCCTGTAAGAGAGAAAAGACAGTCAGCTCTCAGGAGTTTTGTTTTTAACTTTTCCCCTTTCAACTTATTTCTTGAATGCAGGGGAAGGGGAAGGGGGGAGCTCACCCCTCCCCGAAGGAGCCATTAATGACTGCCTTGGACAGTCCATGGCAGTTGCATGGACTTATCCACAGTTTTATGAGTGGACTTTCTCAGCAGCTGTGGCAGAAGTAGAGTGTCAAGAGTTCCTGCTGAAGTGAACGGTGGAAGCAAACATACACCTGTCTATGTGGCCTAAGACTAGAGGTCACGTACAATGTTTCCAGACCTTCAACCTTCTGTATAGAGTAGAAGACTCTAGTCTGTTGTATGGTCTGATGCTGAGTACGTGAGCAGAACCAGGAGAACGCTGTACACGGTAACAGCCATGCTATGCGATGACTAATACTGATAGACTTAACCCTTCTCAGCAATACAAGGATCTGGGACATCTCCAAAGGCCTCATGATGGAAAATGCTATCCACATCCAAAGAAAGACCTATGGAGTTTGAATGCAGATCGAAACATACTATTTGCTATTTTTTTTTCTTCTGTTGTGTTTTGTTTCATCTTTCTGGTGGTTCCTTCTATTGGTTCTAATTCTTACTTAAAACATCACGAATGTGAAAATATGTTTAATAGGAATGTATATGTATAGCCTATATCAGATTGCGAGCCATCTTGGGGAGGGAGGTGGGAAGGGAGGGGGAGAAAAATTTAAAACTCAAAAGCTTATGGAAGTGATTGTTGATAAATCAAAATAAATAAATTAAAAAGAAGACTCTTGTCTGCCCAGGCAGAGGGATGGTCTTATCTTTCTGCTGCCCCAAATAAATTGCTTCTAGGCTAAAGTCCACTCCTAGCAGAAGTGGTATCTTAATGTGTTCTGAAGGATCAGTAGGGTTTGGTCAGGCTGGGGGGAGGAGGAAGGCATGGAGAGTTTCTCCAAAAGCCAGTTATCAGATGGTAGCTAATATTGTAATCCTGATTTTGAGTGAAAAGGACCAGGATGCATAGGAATGGATAAAACTCAGAGATATTGCAAAGAAAGCCTGACAGGAGCTGGTAACAGATTGAATGTGTTCAGTGAAGGAGAAGGGAGGACCAAAGAAGACTCCCAGACTTTCAACTTGAGTGACTGGGAAAATAAGGGTGCCACTAGCAGCAATGGGCAAGATGGCTTGGGAAGGCCTTGGTTCCCAGAATCTCCAGGCCAGGGCAGGTCTAAAAGACACCTTCTGATAGTAGGTCCTCGGAATGGGTCCTCTTTCTCCAAGGGAATAGGAGAGGTCACAGGATCACCTAGAACTGGAAGGGACCTAAGAGGCCATTGGGTCCGATCCCTTCATTTTACAGATGAGGAAACTGAGGCCTAGAGAGTCTAAGTGACTTCACAGAACCATAAATCTCGAGCTGGAAGGAACCTCAAAGTCCGTCTATCCAAACTTACTTCTTGGTTAGCTAAAGAAACTGAAGTTTAGAGAACTGAAAAGAACGACCCAAAGTCACACAGGTAGTAAGTGGCAGAGCCCAGGACTTGAACCCAGGTTCTCTGGCTCTCCATGTGGCACTCTTTAGGTAGTATGGCATAGTGGATAGAGTGCTATGCTTGGCATTAGGGAAGCTGAGTTCTGAAACCCACTTCAGAATTTAGGAGCTATGTGACCAAGGGGAAAAAACCACTTAATCTCTTTCTGCCTCAGTTTCGTCATCTGTAAGATGACTGACTGAAGTCAATCAACAAGCATTTATCAAGGGGTTATTATGCACTAGGCACTGTGTGCTAAGCCCCTGGGGACACAAAGGGAGGCAAAAAAACAAGCCCC